TAATTTCTATTTATATTATATTTTTACATATAACAATTTTTTTTTTTATTTATTTTAAAGTATTCGTTTTATAACTTTTCCTTTAATCTCTCGTTCGCACTTTTTCAAGTTCTGTAAAATCGAAATTTTTATCTCACAGGATTTTTCTCGTCATAAAGTGCCATAGAAATAGTTTTTGCGATATTGCCAATTGATTGCTTACAATCCAGAAGCCTAATCACTCTAGATTATCGCAAACAATTATGCAAGTAATCAAATGAGCTGTAGATTAAGTGCCGGTATTATTTGCTAAGGCATTTGTGGTTGAAAGCAACACATTTATTTACTTTATTTATCTACTACTAAGTTCTCAATACCCAATCATCGTCTCATTTCGCTCCTTTTTTTATTTGTTTAAGTATTTAAGCACTAATACCCAATTGATTAATTGGTTTTCTAACGAAAAAATTAGACAATTATTGGTTTTGCCTGTAACGCCTAACGCTTGTTGTTGGTTTCGTATGATTTTTGCATCCCACCAACGCATGTACCGTTGTGTCATTAATTTTTGCTCAAATTTCACTACAATCAACTATAATTTCTTTAACAACTGCTTACTCCTTCAGGTGGCACACCGCTCGTACCTGCTATCGGTAGTAGTGTTGGTGGCGGCTCACCAGCAGTTTTGCGGCGCAATGGTAATGGCGCCAACGCAGCTGCCTCACCCGGCGGCACAACCGGAGTTGGAAGCAGCAACTTACAGACCAACACGCCGGCGACGCCCAATGCCGTGCTGGTGCCGGCGACTGTAAATGGCGGCGGCGCAGTTGCAGCTGCGGCCAGCGGCAGTAGCAGTAGTGTCGCGCTAAGCGGCACCACCAGCAGCCTGAACACGCCCACTACGTCGAATAGTGTGCAGGAGTTTTCATTCAAAGCCAAGCAAGAGGTTTATGTGCTCCAGCGCGTATCCGAATTACAGCGAGAGGGATTATGGACTGAGAAACGTTTGCCAAAACTGCAAGAGCCCAGCCGACCGAAGGCGCATTGGGACTATTTGCTGGAGGAGATGGTCTGGTTGGCGGCGGATTTTGCGCAAGAGCGCAAATGGAAGAAGAATGCGGCAAAGAAATGCGCCAAAATGGTGCAGAAATACTTCCAGGACAAGGCGAATGCAGCGCAGAAAGCGGAGAAGGCGCAAGAGGCGCATCTGAAGCGCATAGCCGCATTCCTGTCGAAGGAGGTGAAAATGTTTTGGTCCAATGTGGAGAAATTGGTGGAGTATAAACACCATACCAAGCTGGAGGAGAAGCGCAAGAAGGCGCTGGATCAGCATTTGAGTTTCATTGTCGATCAGACGGAGAAATTCTCACAGCAATTGGCGGAGGGCATGAATAAGAGCCTCATGGATGCAACGGCCGGTGCCAGTGGTGCGCCTAGCATGGACTCGAGCAGAATATCGTCGCCCAAACGCGAGGCGACGGCGGGCAATGGCTCCGATGGTAAGTTCGAGAGAAATGAAATAAATAAATTTGAGTGAAATTAACGGTATGCATTGTTTGTGCGCTCCAGATGATTTCCGTCCAGAATCCGGTTCCGAGGATGATGAGGAAACAATTGCTAAAGCGGAGGAAGAGGCCGCCGACGTTAAAGAGGAAGTTGCCGCATTGGAAAAAGAATCCCAAATGGATCTAGATGATTTTCTCAAAGATTTACCAAAAGGCTATTTGGAAAATCGTGAGAAAATCATGCTGGAAGAGGAAGAAGAAGATTCCAAAATGGCCACTAGCAGCCAAGAAGACGATGCCGATGATGCCGAATTCGAAGCGAATGAAGAGAGCGATGACGATGAAAACACAATTAGCAAACAAGAAGAAGACGAAATGGATATCGATCATCAGAAGGAAATCGATGATTTGGAAGCAGATAATGACTTGACGGTCGAACAATTGCTGGCCAAATACAAGTCCGGCAAAATTGATGAAYCAACAACGGCAATGACGGCGCGCAACAAGAAGTGTACGCCGCCAGCGAAAAAACGCGCGAAAATCGAAATCGATTCCGACGATGACGAAGTGGCTGACGATGCCAGCAGCGATGGCACGGTCGTTGAAACGGAGAGTGAGTCGGGCGGCGAAGACACCAACGATGAGGAGGCGCCTACGTCCAACGACGAGAGCGAAGAGAATGAGCAGGAAGACGGTTTAAAAAGTCTGCTGGAAGATGTAAGTGCGCAATGCATTCGAAACAATATGTGCGAGGCTTAGTAAAATATTTTACATTTACTATTTTTAGACTGAGGGCAACAGCAAGGATGATATGATTAAAGATGCGGCTGCTTTAGCCGAGAGCATACAACCCAAAGGTAATACGCTATCATCCACAAATGTGGTGACGCCGGTACCATTCCTGCTGAAGCATTCCCTGCGCGAGTACCAGCACATCGGYTTGGATTGGCTGGTCACCATGAATGAGCGCAAACTCAACGGCATACTCGCCGATGAAATGGGCTTGGGTAAGACCATACAAACCATTGCCTTGYTGGCGCATTTGGCCTGTGTCAAAGGCAATTGGGGACCACACTTGATTGTGGTGCCGTCGTCGGTGATGCTCAATTGGGAGATGGAATTCAAGAAGTGGTGTCCGGCCTTCAAAATACTCACCTACTATGGCACGCAGAAAGAGCGTAAGATGAAACGCGTCGGCTGGACGAAACCGAATGCATTTCATGTTTGCATAACGTCCTATAAATTGGTCGTGCAGGATCAGCAGAGTTTTCGGCGAAAAAAATGGAAATATCTGATACTGGATGAGGCGCAGAATATAAAAAATTTCAAGTCACAACGCTGGCAACTGCTGCTGAACTTCTCCACAGAAAGGTGAGTTGTTGTTGTGAATGATTGCGAGTTTGTTTGATTGTGTAGAAACCAACAGCACCATAATCAGTGCTTATTCGATTGCTAAACTAGAATAAGAACTACGCTTGGGTGCTGAAAGCAAACGAATGCTTCAAAGCATTGCTTTCTCAGAGAGACTGCGCAAACTCCACTACGCAGGCTTGTCAAGTGCTTTGTGTACAAAAAACAAGAAAAATATATATTTTGCTGCTTTTTTTTGTAATTTTAATTTTTATTACAACCACAAATTCACTAAACCATCAAAGACCAAGGAGCAACTTGAACAAATGAAGGTTATCAAGAATGCGCCACCGTCAC